AAAGTGGTAGCCCCTAAAGGGGGTAGTGATTGTAGGGGGCACAGGGGCCTCCTTTACCTGGTCTCAGTTACTTGGGTATGCTTGTTTTATAGAAAGTCACTGAACTGCACACTCTGCTAAGTGTATGCCTTCCTTCTGCCATAGCTCTCCAGAGGACTCTTAGACCCAGCTTATTGAGTTTAATGAAAAATGCCATGGGATCGTGGTGGGAGTTGCATTATATTATTTATTTAGATTAATTTGGGGTGATTGCCTTTTCTATGATATTGATTGTTTTCCTCCATGCATGTGGTATATTTCCACGTGCAGAACAACTTGTACAACTCTTCAGTGAATCTCTGGTGATTTATCCCAAGTTTCCTTGTGTGTTGTTATTACGAAGGGGGTGGTTTTTCTTTTACAATTTCAAATAGTTAACTTTTTTATTAGTTTATAATCACATAAGTTTCAGTATTAGAACTTTACATCTTGGTAAATGTGGTAAAATGTACTCAAAATTGATCATTCTAACCATTTTTAAGTATGGAGTTCGGTGGCATTAAGTACATTTAATGCAAGTACCTGAAGTACATTTAATGTGCAACTGTTATCACCACCCATCTCTAAACATTTTCATCTTCCCAAACTGAATCTGTTCCCCTGACAAAGTCTCCACACCCCGCTCCTCCAGTTCTGATAACCACCATGTATTTTCTGTCTCAATGAATTTAGTTTATCCTCTCATCCATTGATGGACTTTGGGTCATCCCAACTATCGGTTATTGTGAATAACACTCTTGTGAACATCAGGATGCTAACATCTGCTGGAGTCCCTGCTTTCCATTCTTTTGGTTATGGATAGAAGCAAACCTTTCAGTGCAACTCAAGTCTGAATCCAGTGATTCATTCATGCAGTGGCTACATTCTGAGCACCTGCTTGCTTTCTGTCAGTCCCTGTGCAAGTAATACAGCCCAAGTAAAGCAAAGCCAGTGCTCTCTGGGAAGAGATCCAGGCATCTCAGCTGTCTCCCACACTGTCCGTGGTCCTGGAGGGTGGAAATGCAGTTGGGTGTCTGTCACACACACCCCCCCCCACTTCAGTGCCACATTCATGGCGTTTCACAGTGAGCCTGCATCTCCCACTCATGGGATAAGGTAGCAAGGTGGCTCCTCGACAGGCAGCGGGATACGGAGCAAACAAGACAGATTCCATAGTGAGCATTGGCATTCGTCATCCTGTCAGTGTTAGCATTTTTTTTTTTTTAGATTTATTTATTTATACAAGAACTGGGGTTCAGGCCAGATGCAGAGGAGGGTGAGAGGATTCACCAGAGACAGAGCTGGGAGCAGAACAGTCAGATTGACGAAACACACTGCTGAGGGGAGCAGCGGGCGGGACAGGCGAGGTCTGCCACACCATGTGGGATTCTCGCCGGCTGGCCAGATCGAGCCCGCGCTGCAAAGGCTGCGGGCAGCTTCACAGCGCGGCGCTCAACCACCTGCGCCACGAGGGAGGCCCAGTGTTAGCATTTTAAGATGAGGGAAGTGAGGCTCAGAGGGGTCAGGAAACTTGCCTGAGATGACTCCTGTGAGTCAAGGTTTGAGCAGGGAGGCAGAGCCCCTACCAGTGTGACTGATACAGAAGCATTTGTTACAGGCAGAGTGTGACATCGTCATGTAAGCTGTTACCTCTGCGTCTGCAGCTGAGCCAAAAGTCACTGTAAGCGAAACAGCCATGGAAGGAAAGATGGATATGGACGGGAGCCCACGGGAAGAGCATCTGTCTCTCCCCTTCTCCAACCGGGAGCACTGGGTGACCGTGGAGAAAACTGAGCGCTCACCATGGCATGGCGTCTACCTGTCCGAGCCACGCCTACAAGCTCACAGTAGACCGTGTTCCCTCCCATTCTCGCCTGAAGCCCCGCCAACACACACACAGTACACGTGTGCTGTTACAGGGTCTCCACCCGAGCCTTGTATTGCCACCATGAGATACTACACGAGCTTCTCCACACCACACTCCCCCTCCTGGGTTCTGGGGATCCCTAACTTGGCTCCAATTCTTTCCTGGAATGGAGCTTTCACTAGTCTAAAGTTGCTGTGCCATCATCCCGTCAGTCATTTCCCCCTGCTGGACACCGTTCTGTAACAGAGGCACCTCCGTGAAAGGGGGGTACCGTGTTGCCTGCCCCCTTCTCATGCCTCTGCCTTGGACTTGGGGGGACACTGGTCCTGGCCTCGCCCAGCTCGGGGCGGTGCAGGCGTGTAGCTGAGGCCTATGGTCCCTGCCTCCACCTTCGTGTGGCCTCGCCTGCAGGTCCGCCTTGTTGGGACACTTGTCACAGAGTTCAGGGCCCACCCAGAGAATCAGGCTGAGAGCCTCGTCTCAAGACCCTTAATCACATCTGCACGGAACTTTTTTCCAAATAAGGTTACATGGACAGTTTTTTGGGATTAGGGCATGGCATATCTTTAGGGGGACAACTATTTGACCCATGATGGTATTATTTTAAAAATAATTTTAACCAGTGGAACCCTTGAAAGGATCTAGGGGATGCTTGGGTCCCAGGGTCACACTTACTGGGGATCTCCTTCAGTGGCTGGCACAGATGCTGAGTAGGCCTCAGGGCAGCCATGGAAGCGGCCAGGGATGCTTGGCCTCATAAACCAGTGAAAGTAAAGCTTCTAGGGAGAATCTCAGGACACGCTTCCAGAAAATGGGAAGGAGGTGTCTGGCATGTGCGAGAGGACCAAGGCCAGGAGGAAGGCTGGAGGTTGGGGAGAAGATGGTAGAGGAAGGCTTCTAATACCAACACCTGGTGTGGGCTTGCATGTGGTGTGGTACCGAGACATAGCCCCCCTGGGATTCACCCCACCCCACAGCACCCTGAGCAAGGCTGATGTTTGCCAAGGGCTTTGTGTGAGCGATGTGGTGGAGAACAGGGCATTCAAGAGAAGGAGCTGCAGCTCCCCTCTGGGCTGGGCCTGGGCAGGCCCATCGCTGACCCGGTCAGATTAGGAAGGGCAGAGGGATGCAGAGAACCTAAAATATTCCCTAGAGAACCAGTGGAGCCCTCAGCCTGGCTGGTTGCTGGGTACAGCAGAGGACAGACACCTCAACCAACATCCAGGTTGAACCGTGAGTGGACCAGGTATCCCAGAGAGAGACAACTCAGAACTCCTCACCCACCCCAGTTCCCCAAGGGGCCTTGATGTGTCTCAGGACCCCTGACTCATGCGAATCACATTTAGAACATCACTGATTTAGTCCAGCCCCTCCCCATTTGACAGTGGCTATAAAGAAAAGAATGGATGGTCACGTCATACAAATGAAAAAGCCTCACAAATCCTTTTGTGTCTTAACAATCACCTTTGGACTTGAAAAAAAGCAAAACTGGAGCATATCTGCAATACATTATGAAAGGCAAAAAGTGAATACCTCTAATGTGCAAAAACAAACCCGATACTCTCAGCAGAAAGAAAAATAGGCAAAAGTCATGAACAGGTACTTTAGGAAAGAAATACAGAAGCTGATCAATATGAAGCAAGGTGTTTGATCTCACTAAAAAATGAAAGAAATGAAGAAACAGCTATAACACACTCTAATTTTTCAGTTGTCAGTTTGGCCATCACCGGCAATTAAAATAATTGACAGAATCTAGCTTTGGCGAGTGTGGAAGGGACGAGGACTCTTCCCGCTGTGGGGGGAAGAATTAATTGGTAGCTCTGTATGGAGGGCAGCTAGAAAATATGAATCAAGATGCAAAATGTGCCTGCCCTGTGACCCCACAGTCCCACTTCTGTAAAATGGGGACAATGAAAGGCTCTATTTCAGTTAATTGTTGAGAGGCTTAAGGGAGCTAATCCATAAAAAGCATTTCTGCCTACAGAAAGGGCTTGAGAAATGGTAGTTATTATTAGGAATTTATCCTAGGATATAAGCCCCCTCTTGCAAAATGATGTGTATACAGGGGGTGTTTCCTGCAGCTTCATTTTCAATAGCAAAAAATGGGAAACAAATTAATTGCTCATCAAGAATTAAGGAGGTTAGTTCCGGGAGGGCAGCGCCTTCTTCGTTTTCAGGATGATGCAGATGAGATCTGAACGTCGTCAGCATCTCTGTTTCTTGATGTAAATGCTGGTAACACAGGCGTGTTCACGTGGGGGCATTTCTCAAGCTGTACCCTTGTGATTTGTGCCCTTTTCTGTATACATGTTCCACTTAGAAAGTACCCACCAGTATTAGCGCATGAGTCTCCTGTAAACCAGAATGTACATGGAAACGCCTGGAGACTAGTCTAATAGGACATTTACCCTGTGATGTTGAAAGTTGTTTCTGGGCGCTGGGATTAAGAGTCATTTTCCTTTTCCATTTTGCTTATCTTATTGAGTATGTGAGAAAAAAAAAAGTCCAACAAAAATAAACTGAACAAAAAGTATGTGTTACTTTTGTAATCAGGAAAAACATATTCACCATTTGACTTTTTGGTTGTAACACTCAGAAACCCACCTCAGTCTTATCAAAAGGGGAAAATGTAATTAATTTGTGTAACAGGGCATGTGGTGGAAAACTGGCAATGGATCTGGTTTCAGGCAAGGATCCAGGCTCAAATGAGGTCGTGAGGAAGCTCCCATTTCTTGGCGCTCTTGGGAGTCACTGACCCACAGGGGAGGGGAGGGGCAGAGGGTGTGTGTGGATGGTCCAGTGGCCGGAGCTTGCTGTATATGCAGAAGAGGGAGAGATCCTATAGAGGGTCTTGGAGGAGGCAGACTTTGAACTGGGGATTGAATGATGGGCATTTGGGGGAGAAAAGTGTTTCCTGTGGAGCAGAAAGCTCTCTAAAATGCTGGGTATAGGGCAGCATGATGCATAGCTCAGCAGGATGGAGTCTAGGGTTCATCTCTTAGGGCAAGATTGAAAGGTAGGTTGGGGTTTGATTGTAGGGAGTACTCCGTTCCGCAGTGATTACTGAAAATTCTTTAGATTTATAATTGCCGAAATCTGATCAAATAGAACCATCCAGAGGTATGGGTTTTAGGCATACCTGGTTCCAGGTGCTCAAACTTTATTTGTTGCTAGGACAGACTCTCCCTGAAGCTTTTTATCTTGGCTCTAATTTCTTCTTTGTTGGTTTCATTCTCAGAGTCTTCCCCACTGGCCATGCAGGCCCAAATCCCACTTACCCACTCCAATATAGTATCTGCCCTCCAGTAATGCCAGCAAAAGCTCCAAGATTGATGGTCACTGGATGTCCCTGGGCTACATGTCCTTGGGCTCATTCCTGCACCAATCCCTGCAGCTGGGGCCTGGCCTTAGGATTCTGGTCTGGGCATATGACCACTATTATAACCATGGTCGTCTTGCACAAGGGACTTCACACAAGTCACTCAAGAACAAGGAACTGTAAACAGATGGAAGGGTAGGCACCACTGCAGCTTGCCGATGAAGGGATGATGTACTGCTCTGGGACAACGATCCAAGCTGCTGAGATGGAAGGCAGCTTCGAGGGAGGGAGCACTGGAATAGGAATTCAGTTGACCCTATATCTTCTCTTCCCCAAGAGGCCAGAGCTCACCAAGGCTGGGTGTCCATTCTTGTCTACTTTTGCATTTCGCCCTCTCCTTGCTGCCTGGCACATCATGGGCACAGAGTGTATGTGTGTTCATTGCATTTTATTGAGTCCGTCTAGTGACCTCTGTTTTTGTTAAGTCTCCCTAAGTTGCAAAGCTGAGTTCAAGGTGACATAAATGAAAACGGGACATTTATGGCCGATCATTTGATTCAGAGTCTGTGGGACATTTGCTTCAGTTTTGGCTAAAGGCAGCTGCTCAAAGGATGTCATCAGTTCTCCCTCTTTCTCTGGCATCTTCCATTTTTTCTCCCTGTTTTCTTCAATTTGGCTTCAATCTCAGGCACTCTCCTTATGAGGTGACATTGTCCTCAGTAGCTCCAGACAGACACCCCACTAGTTTAGCACCTCCAGTGGAAAGCAAATGCCTATTTCCCAATAATGCCATTCAGAGCCCTGCATTCCTATTGGTCAGCATGCGTCACAGGACCAGCTCTGGGCCAATCACTGCGGCCAGGGAACGAATGCTCTGACTGGCTAGCCTACCTCATGGGACTGTCCCTAGAGCTGGTTCCCCAGACGAAATCCAAGTTGCTGGAATAATGATGTTGTCCAAGTACTTGGATTTGCACAGACCCAACTTTTTGGTTTTCCTGGCTTTGAGGACTAGGCAGAGCCAGTAGCTCTGAGCCCACAATTAATACCCTTTCTAGGAAGGACCCTCAACTCCCACCTTCAGAGATTCACCCCGAGTGGGTCTATAAGAAGAAGGAAAATTGGCCGCCCTCCCCTTTGGGCAGCTGGTGTTGTGTTTCTGGCTGAGATTCTCTTAGAAGACTGGATCACAAAGCACTGGAAATGGGTGTTTGGGATGGAAATACAGACACACAGTTAATTATGGCGTCCTGCTTGGCGCCACCCTAATTAAGGCAGTTCCCTGGTGGAGGCCAAGATTTAATGCTCTCTCTTTTATAGTGTTTGGTGGCAAGTGGGCTGCCCTGTCCTCTCCCCTCCCTCTGATGCATCCCTGTCTGGATGGCTGGGAGCTGAGCAGCCAGGACGGCTTGGCTGCTGACAGGAAACTGAGAAAGGCTGTGTGGACCCCACTGGGGAGATACAGCTTCTCTCCAGGACAGGGGGCAGGACAAGTGGGGGATAGGGTGAGTGGCAGGCATGTCAGTCTTGGCTCTCCTGTAGGGAGGTGCTGAGTGGGACAGGAATGTCCCAGTCTGAAGAGAAGTGTTAGGGCTCTATTGGCTCTAGGGCCCACCAGGAAGAGAGAAATGGTTTCTAGAGGGCAGGGCTGACCTGCCTGGCCAGAATCCAATCAACTCCTCAACTTCATGGCCCACTCTGATGCAAATAAAATAGGGAAGACAAATCTATTGCCAGTAAACATACTAACGTGTCCATGAATCTGCTTTTGATACCAACAGAATTTCCCTCTACTATCCACAGTGTAGAATTATCCAATTCACTTTTATAGACACAGGGCTGGCAGGGACATAAAAGTTATTTTATGTTATAGTTGAAGAAATTGAAGCCAAGACGGAAGTGATTTTCCCAAGATCCCAGTGTTTTCGATGAGTGTAGATGTCAGGTGGTGAACAGATCTCACGTTGAGTGCCAGGCAGAATGACTGGACAGCTGGGGGCTATGATGATATGATTCTGAGGCCTTTATTTTGCTCAGTGGGGAACAAACTCTTGATTAATTAGTGATGTCTGCCATGGGTATTGGTTGGGTGTGGTCAAGCATATGCAAGATTTTGCCATTCCTGCCTAGATGTAAGAGGGATGTTTTGAGGTAGGCTCTGAACTAGGTACTCTTGAAAGATTTTGACTGGACAGAGATGCTGAAACTCAGAAAGGTTGGCCAAGAGAGACATGACATTCTTGAAACCCCTCAACAAGCTACCTTTCAAGTTGCCATGAGGGATTGCAGGTCAGGGATTCCCAAGGCCTTCCATTTAAGTAATCCTCTGGTGTAACATCAGTTATGTCTTTGCAGATGCCGTCAGGTCTGTGAGTCCCCAGACCCGTCCCTTTCCTTGAGGGGCTATGGGTTATTGGTTGTGGTAGATCCTGAGACCCTCTGAAGAACTAGGCTACTTATCACATGGTGATTGGCTGGTCCATGATGTAACTTCCCTTAGGTCAGGTGACTGACTCTCAGCCAATCATCTGTGGCCTGAGGTGCAATGAACAGATAGCATCCCCTGGACACAGGGAGAGCCCACCCCTCTTCCCTCAGCAGGGGACTGTGAACATGCTGACCTGTCCAGCTGGGGGCCTGCCTCTTAATGGCCCTTGACTAGGCATGGGGGCAGGGAGAGCAGGATGACAGGCATGGCTTCTTTCCAAGGAGCTCACAGTTGAGTAATGTCACCCATCTTTTCTCTTAGGCCTTGAAGGGGACCCCCAGACAACCTACTCTTCCAGTCTCCAGAGGTGAATGGTGAACATTATAAGCCTGTCATGGTGGGTGGTCATGGGTTTGGGTCTAAGCTTCATCAACGGTCCTTATGGGGCATCTCCAAAGTCAGATCTGGAGAAGGATTTCTTCACCAACAGCCTGTAGCACACACATGAGAGGAAATACCTCTTTTTGCCGAGTTGCATGAAAACGCTGCAAATGCCAGGGGGCCAAGTAACAGTGGGGTCGTTGAGGGGGGAGGCCATGTGAGGGTGGTACCTCTGAGGGTGTCACTGAGAACACTCCACAGCAGCTCTTGTTCTGGGTCTGTAATTACAATGGTCCCGACTTATGACGGCTCGACTTAAAGCTTCTTGACTTTAGGATGGAACAAAAGCAGTATGCATTCCCTCACACAGCTTTCCAGTTGTGATCTTTCTCTGGATAGTGGTTCTTTCTTGTGATGCTGGGCAACATGCTGAGGTCTGAGATCCTGAGGACACAGCCAGCTCTCTAGAGACTCTTTTCCACCTTTAGCACAAAATCAGATGCATTACGGGAGCTTCCCAGCACTTTATTATGACGTCCTCTTCGTTGTTGATGATTTTGCTCCACTCTGGGCTAACAGAAGTGTTCTTAGCATGTGAAGGTAGGTGAGGTTAAGCTAGGAGGTTTGGTAAGTGTAATAAATCCATTTTGACTTAGGATTTTTAAAATTTATGATGGATTTTATCAAGCCAGAACCACATTGTCTAGCAAGGAACATTGGCATAGGACGTAATTAGAATTCTTATGAGTTCAGTGGCCAACACAGAGGCACAGAGGTGCCTGAAAACTGACAGCTCCCCACTTACCATCTGTGTGACTGTGGCAAGATGCTTTTCCTCTTTTGCCTCAGTTTTCTCATGTGTGGAAGGGAGTTAAAATAAGAACACCCCATAAGGCTGCTGTTTATATACGTGGAAGTCTTCTAGCAGGGCCTGGCCCTTGGGAAGAGGTCTGTAGGTGTTGACTGTTACTTAGACCCCCTTTAAAAATAGAGCTAAATTAGTTAATAGAATTGGCTTAATCACAGGCCTGGTTCATGACATGCTGCTGGTCCATTTATTAAAATAACCAATACCTGTGACTTCACCCCTCAAAATTCAAGAACTAGAATATTGTCGGTGTAGTTTTTCCTCCAAATGTACTTCCCTTGAACTGATGGCCCCACTTCCTCACCCCTGAGCACCCCCAGATAAACACTGCTCTGAAGTCTAGGTGTGTCATTCTTCTGTGTCGTCACAAACTACACGTGTCACAAACTACACGTTTTGCCTGCTTCTGAGTCTTATAAAAAGGATACACGCTGCAGGGTCTTCTGGGAGTTTTTCTTTCTGTTGAGATGCCTTTATTTGGGTTTTCTGCTCCTCACAGCTGAGCATCTTCTGGAAGGGGGAAAGAAAAGCTCACTTTCAACAGAGAAAACAAAAGTTAGATCTTTTCTTCTTTCTCACTCCTTGCACTTCCTTGGTTGTAGAGGTGTGCTGGCCTCATATGGGCCCTCCAGAAACCACTTCCTTCTGAGTTAGTGTGTAAGGGGGTCATGTTCATGACCTTCTGGGCATGGGGTACAGGTGTAAAGGTCAGGAGTTGTGACTGCCCAGGGCCCTGGCCCATGTGGAGACAGGCCGCAGCCCCTGTGAATTTTTCTGATGCTTTTGAATCCCCACTGGGAATCATTTTCCCTTTTCCATCCCAAATATGGGCTGGGGCTCTGGAAGGCATGGGAGAAATAATTTGAGGCAAGTGTAAACACTTCTATGCCAGTGGAACCCTGGCCAGCAGGAATTCCAAGCCATTTGAGAAGTCTGCCAGCCTAAAGCTGGACTTTGGCTGCGACCCTCTGGTGTAGCTACTTTTAGCTGGGAACATTTTTTCCCTGACTCTGGAAGGCCATACTTGAAGGATTATAAGTGACTTAACAAAGACCCCAAACTGACCAGGGATGTTTCTGCATTGAGTTGGCCATTTACATGCCTAACTCCCAAATGGCCCTTTTCTGGTGGGTAGAACCTAACTGTTTGTTAAGATCTGGAGCTTCGGGGGCAAATGTACGTGGTTCTGCCCCAAAGTCTACCTCTTGCTGACTTTGAGTTAATTACATAATTGTCTGTCTTCTCGTCTGCATAAGGAAGATAATAACAATATCTATCTCAAGGGTTACAGTGAGGATCAAATGAAAGAATATGGCAAGTGAAATACTTGCACATACAGTGCTTTTAGTCAGTCCAAGTGAGGCTAAGCCACAGTAACAAACACCCCCAAAGCTCAGTGGCTTATCACATTGGAAGTTTATTTTTCATTCTCATAGTTTTCCCCTCTCCCCACCTTTTACCAGCACACACACCCCCCAGGGCATTATTCCCCCACATAATTCTGGCACATGATCCAGAAGATCAAATTCTGGTTCCACCATTTCAACAGGAAGCCTCCATGTGGCAAAAGAAGGATTAACTGAAGATTCGAGCAGAACACTTTTGCTCTTAATTAACAGGCCAGAACTAGTCTCAAGGCTGCATCTCACAGCAAGGGCGTTGGGCTGTATAGTTTTCTATATGTGTAGGAGAAAAGGCGAAGCAGATATTGGCGAGCACTTGTAATGGCTCCCATAGTGTTCAATAAGCATTAGTGTCCTGCCTTTATTTTCTACCCTCAAAGGGTTTAGAACCCATTCAAAGCGACATGGCACAGATAGATGAAAAGATAAGCATATTTTCTTAGTTCCTTAGAAGCATGCAGTTCTTTGCATTTTCCAGCCTCATTTCCATAGTCTCCTGGGGAGGATTTTTCCTCCTGGTGTGTGAGGAGACGAAAGATGGGGAATAAAGTGCTGGGGACTTACTCAGCAGCTGGACAGTCTAGTGTCAAAAACCATCTGGTGTTGCAGGGGAAATCCAGCCGCACCAGACCTGCTAGAAGGGCAGGGCATGAGGCTGGTGTGCGAGCAGCTATGTGTGGACAGAAGGACGTGCCATAAGCCCAACAGCAAGTCCAGTGTTAATTGTGCTGTCACTCATGTAGTTGTTATTAGTGTGTGACTTCACAGAGGCAGAAACTGAGGCTCAGAGAGATGAACTTATCTGCCAAAGTCATGCAGCTCTGGCACAAGGCGAGAGGGAAAAGGGGGGATGGGGCAGTCTCTGGCTTGAGGAGCGGGTCAGGGTACCTGGTTCTCTCTCCTCCCCCCTGCTCATGGGGAGGCTGGACAGGCAAAATGGAGGGACTTGTTTGCAAAGTACCTCATGTGAAAGCACACGAGAAGCTCTTTGCAAAAATTCATGGTGTGTACAGGAGCTTCTCACAATTAGAGGTAAGATTTCACTTTTCAGGGTAGAAGCAGCCAGCTTCCCCTTCGGGATAGAAGGGAGCTGGGAGGGAGGGGTTCTGAAGAGTAAGGGGGTACTCGTCCCTCTGTTGGGGACCTTAGGCTGGTGGAGAGCAGGATCACACTCTCATTTCCTTATGAGAGGGGGAGCTGAGGTAAGGTTTGTTCACGTTCACACACCAGGATGCAGCAGGGGTAGTAAGAACTGGGGGCTCCTGCAGCTGCCTCAGGGGCAGAGGAAAGGGGTCTTGTAGTTCCCACCAGCTCCGTGTGTGGGCCTCTCCTCCAGCTGGGTCTATTCCCGCAGACCTACAACGTTAGGGATAAGAAGAGAGCAGGGTAGAGTCACCCCACCACATTCCAGGCCCCCTAAATCTCCAACTTGCCATAAGGGCTATCTGTGATATGTGTCATGATGTAGAATTTGGATAAGATGGCAGAAAAGTGAAGACTAAGGTAAAGAGGAGGTGATCACACGAGGGACACCTTTCTTCCAACGCATGGTGAAGCAGAACTCCCCACTAGTTCCTCCTACGCCCTCCTCAGGCTCCCCATCCTGAAATTAAATGTGAGCCTGCTCCTTGACCAGTCCATGGCCTGCTCCCCAAACCCAGAACTTGGTTGGCAGGAGCTAGGGATTGTGGATGTGGATAGGCAGGTGGAGGTAGGGCGCGAGCTTCTCATCCCTGGGTCTGCACAAGGTGAGGTCGGCGGGGTGCAGCACCCTGTCATGGGGGCCCCCTCCAGACGTGCTCTGTGCCGCAGCTAGCTCTTCTCTCCATGTCCGCCTCCCTCTAGCTCGTCTCTCCATGTCCGCCTCCCTCTGGCTTTCCTGGAACTTGGCGAGAGGGAGGTGCCACCAGGAGACCGGAGGGGCTGAAGAGGGGCAGGCTCTGTTCCGGGCTCTCTCCGGGCCAGGCCACAGCGCCCACCCGGTGGCCTCTCCAGCTGCTGCCCTTGTCCTTGGTTTTTGTACCGGCTGTGTGAGGGTGGGCTCCCCACTCTCGTGGCCCACTCTCCCGCAGATAGGATGGGACTGTGAATAGCCGACAAACGCCCCTCATTTACCCCGGGAAGATGCCATCTGTTTCCTGCAAGGCTGGGCCGACACAAACAGGAAGGATGGGAAGTTGACCCCCGGGACCTGGTCATCCCCCCGAGGCCGCGGCTCCCAGGTCCCAGCGTCTCGCGTTCCCAGCGTTTCCGAGCTCCCCTCCCCGTGCCAGGCCCGCGCCGGGCTCCCGCCAGCCTTATTTATTTATTGAACAACACGCAAGCACAGTTTCCTTTTGTGTTTAATGTGTCAGCGTTTCAGTGGATTCGGACTTCAAGGCTCGGATTTTGTTGACAATAATGAGATCACCCAGACAATTATCGTTTGATTTTTCAGTTTGCCGGAGAGGGGAAGATTAAAGTTTAGAAGCTTTGGCTGTTTCCTGATATCCATTTGCTGGGAGCGCTGGGGGCGGGAGGGGGGCTGGGAAGCAGGGAAACTCTAACTGCTGAAAGGTACCCCCGCAGCGGGCCTCTCCGACTGCTCGTCTCCGGCAGACTTTGCTCTGACCTGACCGCTGGGCCCCGTGGGATGACCCCAGGGGCGCCCAGAGGTGCCTCTCCCCAGTGCCTTCTCCTCTCAGGCTGTGGGGTCTGGAAACCTCTCAGCGCCAGTGTCCGCTCCTCTAGCTTAGAGGGCTGGGAGACTGGAGCTGCACAAATGTTTTATTGTTGTTGTTAATAGAAATGCTGTTGTTTCAGCTCACTCTCTTGTTGACAGGGATGACTCTGCCTCAGTTTCCTCCCTGTGCAGCGAGTGAGACGACCCTAAGCCCCCTCAGCCCTGACTCTCACCACCCATTTCTTCCCCTTCACTTCCATGGCTGGGATTTTCAGATGGGGAGATGCTGGGGAGAGGCGGCAAAGGTGCTGGAGGGAGGGAGGGTGCTGGAGAGGCAGGGGGTTGCCGGGGTGCTGGAGACAGCATGATGCCACTGTGCTCTCACGAGGTGTCCCCACTTCTGTGAGGAAAGGCCGTGCCCTCAGCTGAGGCTTTCAGGGCCGGTCCCATAAGATCCAGGGAAAGCTGCATGCAGGGGAGGGCGGGTCAAGCAGGCGGGCTCTGCTCACTACCCCCATCCCCCCTTCTGGGGCTCCAATTGGGACCCCTCCTGTGAGCTAACCCCACTAGCCAACAGATACGGTTTCTGGGCCCAGAGATACCACATGGAAACTGACTCCACCTATGGAAATGTCCTCATGACCCTTTCTAGAACAATACAGAAATTCTCAGCCCCAGCAGGCCCTGCCTTTGCTCTGCTACTTAGCTCGTCTGGGGCTCTCGCTGCTGCCTCCCTTTCTAACTCTCTCTCTTCTCCAGCCTCTTTCTCCATCCTGCTCCCAGCCGCCGCTCTCCCTGGCTCCTGGCTCTCACCCTCCCCGTCTCTCCGGGCACGGCCACTTTCAGCTTGCGAGGTACGGGGTGGGAAGGTGACCACTGGGACCAGCTGTCACTGAGAAAGAAGAGAGAAAGTGGCTACAGGGAGTGACAGGAACTCAAAATCTTTAAGCGAGAAGAATTCTAGACAAGTAGGGAAACCGAGGCCCAGAGACACTAGAGCCCCTACTCTCCTGGCTCTTCAATCCTTCCTCAGCAGCAAGCAAGGGCAGCACACCAGGTTTTTTGTAAAGCTGCTTCTTCTCAGAGTCTGTCCTTTTAGTTCTGGTGTTTAAATGCCTGTTCTCTGATGAAATCCTGGAGCTAACGAAGAGACGCCCATTTCTTTTTTCAGTGTCCTTGTTGGGCTTAAGATGTGCGTTGAAAAATTGGCAATAGCATATTGATGGGGCAAGTTTGGGGGAGATCTGATGTTGGAGATAGCCAGTGTCTGGGACTGTCTGCCTGAGAGAGAAGGCGCTGACCAGCGTTTGCTAACCCCCTCTCCTGACAGGGGGTCACCCCTGGAACATGGTACCAGGGGCACAGATTTGGGGAAGCCCAAGCTCACAGCCCCCACTGGCCCAGGCTGGAGTCTGACTGTGAACCCAGAGCCCCAAACACTTTGGTTCCCAAGGACAGAAAAAGAAGGACAAGACTTTTCCTGCCCAATCAGTGATTATGGGTGATTTTCCCCTTTCTTTGTTGTGTTTTATATTGTCTGAATTTTACAACAAGAAAAATAACTTTTATAGCCACCTTCAATAAATGATGTCTGTATTGAAAAACTATAAGCCTATGAATCTTTGATGTCCTATTTTATTTTATTTTAATTTTTAAAAATTTATACAAGAGCTGGGGTACAGGCCAGAGGTGCGGAAGGGTGAGAGGATTCACCAGAGACAGAGTGGGGAGCAGAACAGGCAGGTCTACTGAAATCCACTGCTGAGGGGAGCAGCGGGCGAGACAGGAGAGGTCTGCTGTGCCCTGTGGGTTGCTCCCTGGCCGGCCAGGAATTGAACCCGCACTGCAGAGGCTGTGGACAGCTTCACAATGCTGTGCTCAACCTGCTGTGCCACCAGGGAGGCCCTGATGTCCTATTTTAAAAGTAATAATGGCTCAAGACTCTGGGATGGAAGGGCCAGCCAGGGAAGGACAGAGAGAACGTCTCCCCCCGAGAAAGTAAGGCCAGCATTTTGGGTCTTTCCTCTCCATCCTGCAGCCACTTAGGTACCAAGGATGTGGTAGACTGCTGCGTGATGGCTGTCCCTAGTGCAGCTGTCAAACACCTCCGTTTGGAGAGGACCCGGGGCACAGAGACTGGACTGTTCTTGGGTCCCTGGGCAGGCATGGCCACTCAGCCCCACCAATCCCGGACCCCGTGCACGTTCCTGATAAACATCTGTGCTGAAGAGAAGGCGGCAGAGAAGAGGCAGCCCTGGGAGGTGCCGCCACTCCCAGGCCCCCTGGAGAGTTCTGATGGACTTTGAGAGCCAGTTTGTTTCCTCACGTTGTTTAGCTCTAAACAGAGCTAAGACTCCTAATCATCTCAAATGACCTGAAATGGTTTCCCAAGCAACCTGGACAGACCCTGGTGGGGGGCAGGGGTGTCCAGAGGGCGTTCAGGGGGCCTGGGCCTCTGAGGCTGGAGGTCTGCCCACCCCTGCTCTGCCTGACACAGATTCCAGAAGGACAGCAGATGCCTGGTGCTGGATGGGGGGGCTAGGGGTTGGGGAGTATGCCCAGTGGGGGAGGGCCAGGCAGGAGGAAGGAGTCCGGCTTGGCCCTGGGGCATTGTCTGCAGGGGCATGGAGGAGGAAGTGGCCTGGGGTAGCTGGGGACAGCGATGAGCAAGAAGAATGGAGTTATTCTTCCAGAAAGCTGAGTGCTCAGAGCCGCGGCAACTCCCAGGGCCAGGGGTCCTGGCCACTGTTGGCCCAGGGCAGAGCAGTCTGGGGGCGAGTGCCAAAGCATGGCTGGGGGTGTCCTGGAGGAGAGGCCAGTTCCAGAGAGTGGGAGCTGGCTCTGGCACGCACACAGCCTTCGTTGTCAGCAACATGGTGGTCCAGAGAGGACCGAGGACTCCCTAAGTTTCCTTAATGAGGTAGCAGCAGGTGACTCTGGAGCTGTGGGTTTGAATCCCAGGACACCTGCTTTTTAGGGTGTGTGCGTGTGTGTGTGTATGTGTAATGTTATTTATCCCCATTTTA